CCCCTCGCAGCTGGATGCGGCGCGCGTCCTCTGGCGCGGTCCTCGCACCTGTCATCCTCAGAAGATTCATCCTTCACGCCCGCTGCCTTGGCCATCTGGTCTCTTGTTTCCCTCAAAAGGGTCTCGTAAACCTTGATGGTTTTGGCGGCCATAGCCTCTTGGTCGAGCATCATGTCGAGCCTCTTTTCCATCTCGGCGTGCTCCTCCTCAAGCTTTTCCAGCGTGGCCCTGAGTTGCTTCATGCGCTCCTTGTGCGGCAGGACGAAGGAAATGTTCGCGGCGGTGATCGCTGCTTCCTCCTCGAGGCTCGACGCACACAAGCCCGCCAGCCTGGCGCCAGCAATGTTCTCGGCGAGGCGGCCCAGTCTATGGCACTTCGTCTTGTACCACACGTGTCGCATCTCCTCGTCAACAGGCGGTGCTGACCAGCTCTCGTGCTCCATCGCCACGGCGAAGGGGACAGGCGTGATGCTGTCCAGGACCACCTTCTGCTGCATGGTGTACTGGAAGTTGCCGATGTGCGTAGCAGCTAAGTCCTGCTGGTCCTTCTTTTTGCGCCTGCTGCTCCTCCTGGCTGAGGTGCTCCTCCACGGCACTCTGTCCTTCCAGTGCTGGTGCTGTGGATGCTTCTGCTGGTGCTGGTACTGGGCTGGCTGCTGCTGGTGCTTGTGGGAGTTTGGATGCTGCTGCTGCTGCTGGCTGCGCTGCCTCCTCTGTGCGCTGTGCTGCTGGTATCCGTTGTGCTGACGCTGGTGGTGCTGGCTGTCATCGCGGGGCCACTCCCAGGGTCGCCCTCCGATGGCACCGATATCTCCTGACCAGTCTCTGGCGCTGTTGCTGCGCCTGCGCTGGTGTTGCTGCTGCGCCTTCGTCGTCATCTCGCTGCTGCTGCGGCTGCGCTGGGGCTGCTGCTGGCGCTGGGGCTGCTGCGCAGAGTGGTGGCTGTTGAGGACGTTGGCCGCCTCCACCACGCGCAGCAGGGCCCTCGCCGAAGAGCGGCGCGCCCTCTCCCGCCTGTGCCAGGCGGGTTCCTGAGGCGTCTGGCCTCACGTGGCGCGCCAGCAGGCGCGCAGCCAGGCGCAGGGTCGCGGCTGCGGCGTCGGCTATCGCCGACCCGCCGCGGCGCGCGAGCCCGGCCCCGCGGGCGGCCGATCACGATTGGCGTGAGTCGATCGGCGCGATCGAACGATCAGACCGAACGGAAGATCGTTCACGGCCCAGGCCCGCCAGAGGCCAAATGGGCTTGGCCCGCCCCCTCTCACTTCCCCCCCGAGGCGCGCCGCCGATTCGCGGTGCCCCGCAGCAGCCCGTTCTGCGGCAGCAGCGGGGCTCTGCCCCCCCGCCAGCGCAAACAACGCGTCAGAGAGCTCTGCGAAGTGCCCCACGGGCAGGCCCGGACGCTCGAGGAGCGGGGCTCCCTCGCAGCAAAGAAGGGGTCGTGGTCCCGGGAGCGCGGAACCACCGTGTTGCACAAGACGTCGTGGCGGAACGAGGGGCTACCAGCCTGGAGCACATCCCTGTCCATATGCTGGGCATCGCCTTATCACGGTGCCGACCTTAGGGATTCCCTGAGTTTCCGAGGACGCATCCCCAAAATTGGCATCGCCTTTTCGGCGTGTCAATCTTCGAGGGATAGGGGTAAGTTCGAGGCTGGTGAAGGGGAACCAGCGCCCGTCGGCGGAGTCCAGCAGGGGGGCTGGGCAAGCGGGCCCCCCTCCCTCCCCAACGCGCGGCTTCCAAGGGGGGGCGACGCGAACCGTCGCGCCGCCAGCAGGAGGCATGCCTCGAGCTGCTGGTCCAGTCCGGGAAGGGGCTGCGGTCTACAGTAGGAGCCCGACCACAAGAAACCTTCCACAAGAGACCCAACCCGGAGACCCCAGGACGTCCATGGATTTGTGGTGTGGGAACGTCGAGCTCTCCATCGCAAAACCATCGAAACCCAAGAAACCCAGCGCACCCTGGAGGCACGCAGGGTGTTTCTTGGCATGGGTCTCCACTGTACTTCCAAATGGGGGGAGCGCCAGCTGCAAGGAGGCCACACCCAGTCCAGCCCGCCAGCCGCTGGCGGCGCAGCCTAGCACCGCAGCCACAGGTCGACCAGGTCGCATCAGAGGCACGCGGCGGCGGGGGAGCGTCAACAGCAATGGCTCCCGCGGCGAGCTGCGATTCCTCAATCATCTCGGAACGCTTGACCATGTCACACAAGACGGACACCAAACTCCCCCCCCGAAAAGGGCGGCGCGCTCGGCGCGCAGGGGCCCTGTCCGCGGAGCGGCGCTCCCCCCCCCCGCGCCCTTGGCGCCCCGCATCTCGAGGCGTCGATTCCCGCGCTGCCACTCGGGGGCGATGGGCGCACCTTTCCCATAATAACACGGCAGGGGCTCCGAGTGGAGGCGACTGGCCTGTTGCCGCCCCCCTGGCGTGGTCGAGCGGGCCATCCCCGGCCGCGCCCTCTCGCTCGGCCATTCCACATGGGCTTCGCAGGTGTTGAACAAACAGGCGAGGCCACCGAACTCCCCGCCGTATGCGTGTGCGTGCGTGTATATGTATATATATATATACATATATATATATATATATATATATATATATACACAAGGGTATGTGAATACCTTAAGATCTATATAACGACATATGTATAGCCATGCATACACAAATCTGATCTCGTTGCTTCAACGATTCTTATGTGTGCGCATGCTGTCGCTGTCGCCGTGTGGGTTCGAAAGCTGAGAGTCTGAAAGTACCCCCGCAGCGACTGCCCCGTCTGCCCCTCCCCACAGGTTCCCAGAATGAGTACCGCTGGAGGATCTGGATGGTATTCTGGAGTACGCGACGGGGGGCGCCTACAGGAGTTCCCGATCGTCGAAGGTGACTTCATCGTCGGCGAGGTCTACGACCACTCCTTCACCCCCCAAGGGAAGTGGCTAGGGGCAGTCGCAGGGGTCAACACGGACTTGGGCGACGACGACGACGACGACGCCGAGAACATACTGTTAACCATCACCCCGATCGGTGCCACGGATGCCTACTACTGGCACTGGTGGCAGAGCCAGCCGCGCACACTGCAGCACCACATCTGCCAGGAGAAGGTGGACTCCTGCCCCTACAAGGGCGAAGACGACAGCATCATCCACGTCGACGCCTTCAAGATCCTGGACGCGACGGCCGCGGGGTCGCTGCTCTCGCGCTGGCGGCGAGTCAACCCGGAGCTCCCGGACATCGAGGACTACCCGGAGGGGATCCGCGACCTCCTTGCCGGGGGCGGGGGCCCTCCGCCCTCACCAGGAGGCCGTCGCCCGGCGCAGGCAGCACTGCCCGCAGCTGCGCCCCGGGAGCCGCCTGGGCCGCCACGGGATGGGAAAGGCTCTCGCGAGCCCGCTGGGGAGCGCCCGGGGGCCCATGCCCTCGAGGAACTGAGCGACTTCCCTGAGGACGGCCTCGTCGATGGCGCGCCCGACCCTGCCAGGGCGGCCGCTCCTGAGCGCGGGGCCATTCTTGACCGGGCCCTCAGAGAGCAGGGGAGGGCTTCCGCAGCTCCTGGTGCCGAGCCGCCTGGCCTTGCCGGCCTCCGGGGACGCCTTGCCTTCGCGCGTGCAGGGGCGGCGGCAGAAGAAGTTCTCCGAGGCGCTCGCGGAGCGCATTCGAGAACCCCGTCCCCGTGCCCGGGACCCCAGCCCTGGCGAGGAGGAGGGCGAGGACCGGCTCGTCAGAGCCCTCGCCCGTCTCGTCAAAAAGCGGCCCAGGCCAGACGCGGGCACCGACTCCGAGGGCGAGGACCGCCCCTCCGACAACGTACTTAGGCTACGCCTCCAAGCGTGCCTCGCTCAAGAAACTTGCGCGCCGGAAGCCGGGAGCGATCGCAGAGCAGGAGCTGGTCCGCATGCTGGAGCTCTTGGACGACGGCGAGCTGGACGCTGGCCTTGGCGAGTCTAGCAACAAGGCGATCGTCCTGAAGTTCTTCTTGAGGGTTTTCATGTCCCGGCGGACCGCCCAGACCTTGGGCGAGGAGCGGTGCCGGGAGATGTGGACTTTGGCCACCGCCGTGGACTTTATCATCAACGGCAGGCCAGCCGAGGCCTGCGACCTTCTCATCTCCCGCTTCAAGAGCATGCAGAAGAGCGTCCGGCACGGGCACACCCGCATCGGCAGGTGGTTCGAGCTCATCCCGATGGACATGGAGGGCACCAGCCTCAGCATCGAGGACGAGGAGTTCGTCACTGCTGTCGAGGCCGGCGACGCCAAGATGGCCGCCCTCCTTGGGCGCTTGGGCAACTCACGCTAGGGACTCGGCGGGGAGAGGGGAAGGAGCAGCCCCCCTCCTGATGCCACCCCTGGAGAAATTCAGGGCCGTGCCAGCGCTCCAAGTGGGAGTCGCCTGGACGGGCTCACTTTTGCCGGTTTCAGCGCTGGGACAGCAGGTTCACCATTACCGCATGAAGTACAGCAGGCACGGTCGCGGTCTGCACCGCGCAGGGCTTCCAGCCAGGCAGCCGGCCCAGCCAGCAGGCAACCCCTGGGTCAGCAGATAAACAGCCATGCCCCTCCTTCGGCGCCGCCCGTGGATCCCAACCTGGACGGCGAGGCGATGTCCGATTTCGCCATCTTCAAGCGAGGCCTGAAGAGAAAGCCGGAGGAGGGGCACAAAGCATGGAAGGCCCGTGCGTGGCGCGAGTACCAGACGGAGCTGAAGCAGAGGAAGGGTGCGAGCAGCAAGCCTGCCCGCACGGTCCAACTCAGAAGATGAGGGCTGCGGCCCTCCCCGCCACATTGCCAGCCTGGCAGTCGTGGCATGCGTGCGCCTGCCCCCCTACTGGGCAGGCAGGCTTTCCCTCCTTGGGGAAGGGCTGCGGCTCCTCAAGATGATATCCGCCTTCCCAGGCAGGCTTGGCGATTTCTTTCGCGAGCACGATCTTGCAGCGCTCTCAGCGAGTGCAGGTGGCGCTAGGCAGCGGGATGTCCTCCCGTTGTTTGCGGCTTTCCCTGCACAAGCATTCTTCGAGGCGAGCGGATGATCCGTGAAGGGGCCTCGGCGGTGCACACCGATGTCGTCGAGCTTTGGACCTACCTCAGCATCATGGCCGTCAATTATTTGTACTGCGGGCATTTCCCTCGCGACCAATGGCGCGCAAGCCCGCAACTGCACGCCGGTCAGCGCGCCGCAATAACCCAGATTCAGAAGTCGGTCGAGTGGTTTGTCGCCGGTTACCCGCAGGACGTAGCAGCTCCGGACTGGGGCGCGCAGCTTTCGAGACAGAAGGCTAGCTACGATTTGCACGAAGATTCTGCGGCCCTCCCGGTGAAGCTGGCGGAGATCCTGCCAGAGGCGAAGCAAGTTGCCACTCGCGACGTCTCGGACTTCTGTGACGGCGAGATGCGGGCCTGGTTGTCCGACCCGCTCAGGGTCATGCTTCCTCCATCGGAGTGGCCAGAAGCAGCACCACGTGCGCGTGCTAACGTGGCTCGCCGGGAGGATTACTACGACCTCGCGGCGCACCTCTACACCGTGGGGGTTTTGACCACCATTGAGCCAGATCAGATTTTCTCTTACAAGGAGAGAAAGGTCACAGCAGAAATCTTTGAGATCGGGAAGTCGGGTGCCAAGCCAGCCGGCGTAGAGCGATTGGGACGCCTCATCGTGAACTTGGTGCCTACGAGTGCGTTCTTTCGGACCTTGTATGGCGACATCGACACTTTGCTGGCCAGCCCCATGTGGGCGAAAGTATCGCTCCAGCCGGGGCAGGGCCTCTTGTGGACCTCACGCGATCAGCAGGGCGCATTCTACGTGTGGCGATTGCCGTCGGTTTGGCATAAGTTCCTTGCCTGGGCTTGGCCTGTGCCCGGGCGCCGCCTCGGGCTCGAGGTCGAGTGGGCGTGGCTCGCCATGGCCGTCCTCCCCATGCGGTGGCTGTACTCCGTCACCGTCTTCCAGCGAATTCACCGCCGTCTCGCTCTTGGCTGGGCGCGTGACCCGCTGCGGGGCTCAGGTTCCACTCAGCCTCCGGGGTGGGCGGAATGGCGGAAGGACCGCGACATGCCTATCCACCTGGCCGGCGGCCTGCCGAGCGAAGAGGCGGTCACCAGGTGCAGGCCCGCCCTGGGATGGTGGCAGGCCTACATCGACAATTTCGACCTCGCCGAGTTCGTGGAGCTCTGCCGGGCGGATGCTTTCGTCGGCTCTGACGCCGCCGACGCGCTGCACATGGACCAGTGGACCAGGTCTATGCGGCGAACGGCATCCCGACGAGCGAGGGAAAGGCTTCGCGGCGCAGCCTTGAGGTCTCGCGGATGGGGGCGCGGGACGATCAGCGAGTCGGTCGCATCTCCAATGCGCCGCCCCGCGGCTTGCTGCCGCTGGGCCTCCTCTCGCACTGCCTTGGACTTGGGGAGCTGCCGCCCCATGCGCTCCCGGTCCTGCTTGGGAAGTTCGTCCGGGAAATGGAGTTCCGCAGGCCGTTGTATGCAGTCTTCCATTGCGTGTGGGCCAATGCCAATGTCAACACGCAGTACCTGAACATGGGCATGGTTAGCGAGCTGTTGCACGCGGCAGCTTCGCTGGCACTCTGCTCGACGGACCTTCGAGCCAGGATCGAAGGCCTCCCTCTCTGTTCAGATGCCAGCGAGACTGGCGGTGGCTGGTGTCAGGCAGTTGGTCTTGCGGAGCACGCCAGCGACTTCTTAAAGGTGGCTCAGAATCCCAGCTTGCTCAGTTGCCAGCCCGGGTCGCTCGGAGACGAGCTTACCCTTGAGGAGACCGTTGCCGGAGCTGCCATGGGGAAGGGTGCAACGCGCGCCGCTGTCCTCACAGTGGGCCTATGCGACGGGATTGCTGGCCTGCCTGTCGCGGTTCATCGCCTTGGGGCCTGATTGGCTGGGCACCTCAGCTCCGAAGCTGACCCTGCAGATTGGCGTGTTGTCCGGATTCGCTGGCCTGGAGCGGTCGATTTGGGGGGGCGCCCCTGAGGTCGATCAGCGCACGGTGTGCGCCGTGGCAGGAGCTTGCGGGGACACCGCCAATATCGTCATCATTGGGGTTGGAGCTTCGTCGCAGGATCTGTCCGACGTCGCGCGGAGAGCCCTCATCGTCATCGCGATGTCCCAGAAGGCCTTCACCGTGCTGGTGGCTCGGTTTGTCGAGAACGTCGCTTCTATGACGCCCGAGGCCCGGAACATGTTCACAGAGTGCTTGAAGGTGAAGCCAGTGTTCATGTGCGCGTCGTTGTTCGGGGACGTATCTCGCCCTCGACTCTTCTGGTGTTCCTGGCAGCTTCAAACGCTTCCAGGTGCCGTCGTAGTCGAGACGACCGAATATTTCAAGGTCGAAGCCATTGGAGCGCATGCTCTGGAGCCTTCGTGCTGGCTCTCACGGGGTGCTCGCAGAGCTTCGTCGGCCAAGCCTCTGCCCACATTCTGCCGTAGGATTCCGAGGAGCACCCCGCGCAAGCCCAGGGGCCTTGACAGCACCTCCGACGACGGCAAGGTCCGCTGGGCCGAGGACAGGTACGCGTACCCGCCTTACCGGTATAGTGTAGAGAACATGATCCAGGAGGGCCCCGACCGCATGCTGCGGCCGCCCAACTCGGAGGAAAGGGAGGCATTGCTCGGCTTCCCAGCGCACTACACTTCTGTAGCCATCAAGAGCGGCTCAAGCGAGTCCGAGGACGTGCGTTGCTCTCACTTGAGCAATTCCTTCCACTGCGGCGTGGTCGCCCGGCTGGTCCAGCACGCCCTCCTGGCCGGCCGCGTCCTGCAGGAGCCGGCAGACATTGGAGAGCTTACCAGGGTGTTCAAGGTCAGGAGGTTCGACCAGGTGAAGGTCCGGCTGGTGCGCGAAACTGCCGTGGACTCGCCAGCCGCCCGCGCACTCATTGGGTTATACCTTGCAGCAGCGGAGCGCGGCGGGTCCGACGTGAGGCTGGATTTGGGCTCGCCGCTTCGGCCGCGGGCCTGGCCGCGCGCCGCCATCAGCCCAGCTTTGTGTCGCTGGCGGCTAGGGCGCTGCTTCCGGTGGGCCTCGAAGGGCAATTCTCACATCAACGCGTTGGAGTTGCGCGCTGCCCTGGCCGCGGTGCGTTGGAAAACCCAGAGCACAGACTTCACCAAGGTGCGCTTCCTCATTTTGGTGGATTCGCAGGGGGGTGCTGCTTTTCTTACGCGGTGCAGGTCGGGCTCATCGAAGCTGAAGCAGCACGCAAAGCAGTGGTCGGCCCTTTGCTCGGCTCGCGGGCTGCACCCAGCGGTGGCCCACGCGCGCACCGACCTCAATCCAGCCGACAAGCCTTCTCGAGCTTTTGCCCGCGAAGATAGGATAGGATAGGACCGTGGGGCGCCGATCCGTGACAACTCCACTGACTGCAAACTACAATATGAAAGAGCGTGCCGCAGAGAGGAGGGGTGGCGCCTGGGTTCTCCGCGCGGGGGGCTATCTTGACGCGCCGCCGCGCGCGGATCGGCGCCCGCGCGGGGCCGACACGGGCCTGGCGGCGGGCCCAGCAGGCGCGCAGCCTTGAGGCTGCCGCCCTCGGCACCGCCCCCAGCTACCTGCCTGGACGGTGCCGCCCCTTTCCCTTGCCTGACGGGCGCGGGCGGGGGAGTGCGATGGCTGGCCCCACTTCGGGAGCCGAAGGAAAGTAAACAGGAGATGGATGAGCAGCAGCAGCAGGCGAGAAGGGAGGAGGCTCAAGGCCAGGAGGAGCAGGAATCGCAGCAGGAAGAAGAGCGAGGGGGGTGGACGCTTCGGCCAGTCCCGAGACCTGTTGCGCAGCCGATTCACTCAGCAACCCTCGGTTCAGGAGCCTCTGAGCGTGGCGACTGGACCTCCAAACAGGGCCCACCCCCAAAGAGACAAAATTGCTGCTTGCACTAGAAGCCTGCTCGACGCTATCTCTTGAACGAGCCTCCAGGTCAGGCGCAAGTCTGGCGGGCTTAGTGGGAGAGAGCCCACGAAGACCTCTGGCGACCCCCATTTCGGAAGCAACTCTAAGTAGCACCTGACCTAAGTTTCTACAGCAGGGGCCCGCACAGCTTCACAAGATCCTGAAGCCGCTGCCGTCACTACTACTTCACCAGATCCAGAAGCCTCTGAGCCTCCCTCACGAGAACGCCACGGGGAGCCCCTCCTATCGTTTTCTCTGCGCCCTGCTCCACCAGCGCCTCGCGGATGGCCTTGAGCAGGACCACCCCGTCGTTCGTCGTCGTGTCCAGCAGAAACTGGATCTTCACCTGCTCGGCCTGCTTGGCGTTCTTGGTCTTGAGCCTCTGCGCTCGGCAGTAGCGCACCATCTCGTGGAGCTCGTTCGGCGAGGCGGCTTTCACCACCTTCTGGTCCCAGTAAGTCTTCAGCACCTGGCGGCCAGCCTTCAGCGCGCCCCCCATCGCAGGCCTCGTCCATGTCCAGGAGTCCGTCGATCAAACCCACGAAAGTTCGGAGAAAGGGGGCGCGCATCTTGGGCAGCTCGAAATGCTCGCCCTTCTTCGCGGCCTCCGACAGCTTCTGGCGCCGCCCCTCCCGCTTCGGCGTTGAAAGCGCCCCCCTCCTCGAGCGTGCGCTGGGCCACGGCGGCGTCGAGCGGCGTGAGGAATGCGTCGTGCACCGCGCCCAGCATCGCCCTCAACTGCGCCTCGTCCATCAGCGCCAGCTTGGCCAGGACCACCACGAGATCCTCGAGCGTCTGCTTGTTGGCGCCCTTGGCGCCGCGGACCGCAACGACCTGCTGCGAGCCGACTCCGCGGTCTTCGCCGCCTCGCCTTGGCTCCTTGCGAGCGGGGCCTCCGTCCCTGCGCCTGCCCATCCAGGCGGGGCGCGCCTGAGACTCCGGCATCAGCTTCGAGTAGCTGCTCGTCAAGATATATGTGCTGCTTTCGGTCGTACACCCTCAACACTCGAGGTAAATGACTACGGACATGTTGTTGGTAATCGGGGAGTTTAGAGGCATGGTAACCGCAGATCTTGCATAAGAGGTCATCGGGCTCCAGTAGTGGCTCCTGTCAGTGACCCCCTCCAGCATAGCAGCACCCTCGGACCATGGACCCCGCCAGATGTCGAGCCGCAGTCACACGGCAGGAAAACAATCCCAAACAACTCGGACACTGATTGGTAACACATAGAACATGGCCCAAATAGCGTAGGTGGTGATGAAATCGCAGATGATTGAGGGCCGACTTCTTATCACCAAACCTGGCATTGCACCTGCATCTTCTCCCCCACGTCATACCGTCCTCGCCCTCCTCCCCCCTGTAAACTCCACATATCCATCTGACCACGACCCCTTCCACAACCTCCTGCTCGAGAACCTGATCCAAGGGGAACTCGTACTCAGGGGGAGGGATAGCTACTGTTCGCTGTTTGCGTCGTAACTGGGTAACGTCGATCTTGCAAAAGTCCCTCCCAAGATTCTTATCCCAGAAGAGAGCGAGGAAAGACCCCTGAAGTCGTGTTAGTAATGCTTCTCCTTCTTCTAGAGACGAGAGTGATTCCTGGTCGGCATAAAATGTACTAGCCCACGGGTTAGCATATGCTGTCAAGCGTCCCATGTAATCAAATTGAGGCCGCTCGTCCGTGGGCAAGGTACCGAACATCGCAGCCAATATCTGCGAGTTCCTGCGAGGAAACTGAACAAATTGGGCAAGCCATCCAAGCCTGCGGATCCTGAGCTCGGTGAAAGTTGGGACCATGCGCCAGTGCTCGAGCACCTTCGCATTCGACAAGGTCTGCGTGTGCCGCTCGCCTTCAAAGCTGGCACCATGCATTGCAACGCGGCAGCACCGAACGATAGCCGAGTCGAGCTTATTGCGCTGGCTCTCCGTGACGAGAAAGGCTTTTAGATTGGGTACCCCAGCGCTCTGGACCCCCAGTAGACCAGACTTTTAAGCCGATGAGGTACCCCAGTAGTAGACCAGAACCTGCCCAAGGAATGAACGGCCGACTTTATTGCTACAATTCTCTTGTTGATCTCAGGCGCCAGTGCTCCAGAACTGTGAATCTGTGCTCCTAGAACTCGCGTGGCAGGACGAACTCCGCCAGAAAAAAGAGCGCCCCCATCCTTTCGCAGACGTCGGTTGGCATCCACGGACCCCTTCCCCGTCAGACTAATGATGGTGTTCTGCTTCATAACGTTATGCTCCCATCCCCCCGTGCATAAGTGCTCGTCTAGTCGCGCGTTGGAAAACTCGTTAACGCTGCTCAGTTCTGCCAACCCTGCGTCTTGCAAAGGAGAGCCGGGACCGCCTCCAACATGCAATTTGGTCAAATCGTCAGCATACTTGGTGAGACTCAAGTCCATGTGCTGATGTGTGACTGGGCATTCGGCTGCAAGCAGACTCTCCGAGTCAACGCAGTCCAAGAGTTGTTCGCTCCAGCAATCCACTGGAGCAGCATGAGCACGGCCAAAACTTTCTACAGCATTGGGGTCGCACATAAGAGCCCCGCACTTGGGCTTCACGAGAAGCCTCTTGTCTGACGCTGGCAACTGAATCGCAGCTGATCGTACTCTGTCAAGCCCAAAACGCCGATCCTCAGGCTCAAGCAAGAGAGAATTGGCAAGCTCGAGCGCGTCCCAGCAGGTAGACGCGAAAGCGTTGCTGAGGTCCTTGTTGGACCAGCTGGCGGAATAACCTGAAACACGAAGCCTATGTAGCATACGCTGAATAACCAACATGGCCCCCTCCTTTCGTCGGCCTCTTGAGAAACCGTAGTCCGAAGGTCCCAAGGGAAGCGGTCGCTTTCGGGCAATAGCTGCGGCAAGCCAAGCTTTTCCCAGAGGGTCGAGAAGATGAATAACGCGCTTCCCCTCGGGCCCTGGCACCGACGATTTCGGGGGCCCACGTCCGAAACTTCTGTTCCAGAGCCGCGGAAAACGCCCAGCGAAACGGACACACTGAAGGCCCTTATGCAGAGCCGTATACAAAACAGCGGAGTCCAATTCTTTGTCCGCCCCGAGCCCTAGTCGATCCGGCGCAAGCCCAAATTCAGGATCAGTGACAATCCCCCACAGTTCGCCTGGAAGAGACCATGGCGGGCATGAGCGTCTCTTGGGGGCCCTTCGAAGATAACTACCAATGCCAATCATATCTGTCATTGCCTCTGCGCTGAAGGCGCCATAATAACCGCTCTGGCCCACCTCCTCGCACTCCTCGTCCTCCGCAATCTCCTCCACCTCCATCCCCCCTCTCGGTCCTCCCAGGGCCCAAACACTCAGCCATTCTTCAGAAGTTAGCGCGGCACCCTGCATGTGACGATAGCTCCTACCGCGAGGGCCTCTTCCACGAGATGCCAGTAAGCGAATGAGGCGATGTCCCTCCTTGTGATTCCGTGCCCGCCACGCCTCCTTCAGCTCCGATATCACCTCCCCCCCCATTCCAGATAATGCTTCCTGCGCAGCTTTGCGCAGGCTCTACTACTAGCTCTCAAAGCTTGTTTGATGGCCTCCTCCTCCTCCTCTGCGCTGGCATCTTGTAGAGACGACCGAAGACGAAGCCGCTCACGAAGCAGTGCGACTCTCCCATCAGCCTGCCGTCGGTACTCTGGAGATGCCGCGTAAAGAGTGCCACCAAAAGACGGCTCAGCAGCACAGCGAAGTGCCTCGTTCAAACAGTTGAAATAGGCGTCTGGCAGGCCAGCCTTCAAGAAGCCCTCGAGCTCGACCTCTTTGCTGGCGATAGCCTCACCTGCACGAGAAATAAATTCACGACGGGCCTCTCGGGACCTCATAGCCTCGAAATTCCTAGAAGTCCTAGTCTGCTGCTGCGGGTTGGGCTCAACATACTCCCACCGAAACTTGCAGTGAACAGGTGTGTGATCCCGAGGGTGCTTTGAAGGGATGAGTTGATGCTTTCGCATGAGGCCCCTCAAGGGGCCACCAGACTGAACCAGGCCCAGCGCAGCAGCAGGTCCAAATATAAAATCAACCCTGCTCGCAACTCCATCTTTGCCGTACCACGTCGGCTCAATAACACTGCGCAAGCCGAGCAATACCATCCCATTCTCCTCCATCACCTCCCTTACTAACTGTCCAGCGCCCCCCTCCAGGTTCTCCCGAGTCGCTGCATCTTCCGCGACGACCGATGTGTCGTTATAAGTCCACCGATCTTGTCCCCGAGAAAGCCCGATCCCATCATTCAGATCCATGCAAAAAATAAATAGGACGCGAGCCCGAGTATTCAAATCAGCAAAAACTTTACGAAGCCACGTTGCCAATCGAGAAACCGCGGCAAAATAATTCGGCCGACCTTGCACCCCTCTCGGCCGAGGTGGAAAGTAAAGCCCGAACACCGCGATGTCCATCCCCCTCCTCTTGAGACGCATCCCGAGCCCCCGCC